CGATTTTAAATTAATTTCCAGTTCGGGTAATTATTAACGATTGACAATTTTCATAGAAAAAACAAAAACGAAAAATTTTCATTCAATTTATTTTAATTACTCTATGACGTTTTTCTTTTTTTTTAGACAAATAGATGAAATTTTACTATTTAATTATTCGTCAAAATTTATTTTTTATATGTGTGTCGCAACGTGATTATTATTATTAATATTATTATTATTATCATTATCATTATTATCATTATTAGTAAAAAAAATACAAAATGGGGGAATCGGTACATAAAAAAAAAGAAAAAAAATGAAGTTTAACTTATCGAAAGTCACGATTTTTTCCCTCCATTTTTTTTTCCATTTAATTTGTATCGTTTTATCAAGTTTTTCTATGTTGTTGTTGTTGTTGTTGTTGTTGTTTGTTGTTGTTTGTTACCTTCACATTGTGACCAAAACATTAAAAAAAAAAAAAAAACATCGAGGTCGATGAACTTTAAGGAGAAAAAATAGAATAAAAATTTAAGATTTTATCAATTAAAAAAAAATTTTTATTTCTAATCGGGTATCGGATACACACGTTCACGCACAAAACGACTTTGCAATATAATTAATAAGGGATGAAAGAATAAATGAATGAGGGGTTGAAAAAAAATTAAAAAAAACCCCATCAAAAAGTTTTTCCTTTCAAACGAGAAAAATTTTAATTTAAAAAATTTGCGTGATCGTTAACTGAAAACGTGTCTGTGACTCATAAATAATAATAATAATTTTTGTTTGTTTGTTTGTTTGTTAAAACAACCAACAAACGTTCGATGTTTTATTATTATTATTATTCGTTAATTAATATAAATAAAAATTTTTAAACAACCGACGGGAGGAGGAGAGAGAGAGAGAGAGTGAGAGGTGAGATTCGGTCGTAAGGAAAATTTTTTTTTTTTTTTTAAACGACGAAACAAAAAAAAAAAAAATAAACAAAATGGCGGATAAAAAATTATTTATAACCCGAAGGTTGTTTTTTTTTTTTTTGTTCGAAATGCCACCCACAATACCGTATTTAAAAATGGCTCCGTGTTATTTGTCACATGTCACCACGTGGTATATTTAAAAACAATTTATAACGGTCAAAAAAAAAATTTTTAAGGCGGTAAAAAAAAAATTATTATTATTATTTTTTAATATGTTTGTCCTTGAATTTTTTTTTTTTTTTTGGTTGTTGTTGTTGTCGGTATGAAAAAATACATACCCCACACATATGGAAATAATAATGATGATAATAATTTTGGTTGTTTTTTTTTTTTTTTTTTTTCAGGGTACAAAATGAAATGGAAGAACTCATTCGAAATGCAGCAAGTCGGGGTGATACCGAACAAGTCGTTAAATACCTCAAAGATGGCGTAAAGAATGTTCCAGACGAGGTAAAATTAATTTTTTTTGTTTCCCCCTCTCCCCTTCCCTCAGCCCTCCCGTCGTTTTTCGGTTTTCCATAAGCTCCCATTCGTCGATTTCGCAAACGTATCCTTAATAATATTAATAATAATAATATACGTTAACGTATTCGATCGTGCCTTATAAATTACTTTTCACTTATCATCATTATCATTATCATTATCATCATTATCATTATCATCGCGGTCGTCATTAATTAAATTTTTTCACTACCCGTCCCTTTCATTTGTCAAATAAGTCAGAAAAAAAAACCGTTAACTTTCATTTTATATATAAAAAAAACTCGCCGTATCGCACACACACACACACACACACACTCTATTGCCACGTTAAATTATTTATTTAAAAAAAAATTACGATACATAATTTATTAACATTAATTATAAAAACCTATTAAAAATTAATTAAATAAATAATTTTTTTTCGACGTAAATACACGTCAAACGTTAATAATAATCATGATAATGATGATGAAAATGATGACGATGATGATGATGATGATGATGATATTTAAAGGAAAAATTTTCCTTTTTTTGCGTTATACATATATATATGAATATTATTATTAATACGAATTTATTTTTATTTTTATTTTTAATTAATAATTTCATCTATATATATATATATATATATATATATATATATATTATTATCATTATCATCATCATTATTATTATTTTTTAATTTATTTCGTAATTAAAAAAGTTTTTTTTTTTTTTTTTTTTTTTAAAAAAAATCTAGATTCTGTTTTTTTTAATTATCAACTTCTTACTCGAAAAAAAAATTTTTTTTTTTTTTTAATTACGGGAAAGGTTAAGTTTTTTTTTTCGAGTTCCGTTAAATTTATTATTATTATTATTATCCACCATTAAACACGACAAGGCTATTTGTCGGGGTTTTTTAAGTATTTGTCCGAGGTTTCTACCCGATTCCTTAGGGACAAATACTCAAATTTCGGTGGTGCCACTTATTATAAGATAGCACCACATCAATTCTTGAAGGTCTTCCTGAGTCCGTCTTTTTCGATGGGAACGATTTGTCTCCTGAACTGGGCTCCGGTGACTAACATCTTTGGAGTGGCCAGGGTCAGAAGCAGTGAAATTCACATTCTCGTCGAGCTGCCTCAGGTCGACAGTAGAACAAGATTTGTTTTTGGTTCTTACTTTGTCTTGTTCTCATTTTTGCTCTTTAAGCCAACGGCACGTGGCGTTCTCAAACGGTCACCCATCCAAGTTTGCACCACGCCCGATGCTGCTTAACTTCGGTGATCGTACGGGAACCGGTGTGCCCAGCATGCTATGGCCATTGGTTTTATTTATTATTATTATTATTATTATTATTATTATTATTATTATTATTATTATTATTATTATTATCATTATTATATTTAAATTTAAATTTTCCTCCATTTTTTGTTTAAGAAAAAAAAAAAAAAAAAAATTGGAGCGCATGAATGAAATTATTAAACCAAAGATTATTAAAATTAATTTTAAAAATTCCTACTCCCCGTTCAAATTTTTTTTCTTTTAATAATTATTGATTATCATTATTATTATTATTTATTAATTATTTATTAATTTAAAAACGTTTTTAATAATAATAATAATAATAATAATAATAATAATAATAATAATAAAACCAATGGCCATAGCATGCTGGGCACACCGGTTCCCGTACGATCACCGAAGTTAAGCAGCATTGGGCGTGGTGCAAACTTGGATGGGTGACCGTTTGAGAACGCCACGTGCCGTTGGCTTAAAGAGCAAAAATGAGAACAAGACAAAGTAAGAACCAAAAACAAAATCTTGTTCTACTGTCGACCTGAGGCAGCTCGACGAGAATGTGAATTTCACTGCTTCTGACCCTGGCCACTCCAAAGATGTTAGTCACCGGAGCCCAGTTCAGGAGACAAATCGTTCCCATCGAATAAAGATGGACTCAGGAAGACCTTCAAGAATTGATGTGGTGCTATCTTATAATAAGTGGCACCACCGAAATTCGAGTATTTGTCCCTAAGGAATCGGGTAGAAACCTCGGACAAATACTTAAACCCCGACAAATAGCCTTGTCGTGTTTAATGGTGGATAATAATAATAAAATTTTAATTGATAAGAGTTCGAGTTTTTACTGATAATAATTGGATTTCTCGAAGGCGTAAGAATACCCCCGAGGACAAAGAAGAGGAAAAAAAGTTTTAAAAGGGAAAAAAAAATTTGAAATTTAAATTTTATTTGTAATTTAAACGCTCTCGTAGCGCCGCACTCGACGATTTTCCGATACGTAAATGTAAACAAATCTTTTTATTTAATTAAATTTTTTTTCCTTTTTTTCCAATTATTTTGCGATTTTTGCGTGAGTGCGTGCGTGCGTGCGTGCGCGTGATTTAACGTCTTTACTTTTACCCGTAAATACTGAATAATAATAATAATCATAATAATAATTGATCGATTTATTCATCATGTACGTTTACTTTGAACTAGAAATTTTTTTTTTCTTTTTTTTATTTTATTTATCGGTTGCAAATATCAGTAATAATAATAATAATAATAATAATAATAAAAACGTGGCAGGAATTTAAATAAAAATAAAACGAAATGAAAACTCGTCGATTTGATAATTATTATTATATGGGGGGAGGGAGGAGGGGGAAGGGAAATATTTACGATAAAAATAATTTTTCATCGCCACCATTTTCAAATGAATCTTTCATTTATTTTATAAAATTCCTTTAAAACATTTTTTTTTTTTTGTATTAAATTTATAATCGTTTGTTGTTTGTTAGTCCTTGAGGCGATTTCCGGTTTAAAATAATATAAATATAATCGGCGACGAACGCGTTTCGTCGCCACCTTTCCCCGAAGAGAGAAAAATTAATTTTTTTTAAATTTTTTTTCGATATCGAAATATCTGCCGGTGATTAAAAAAAAAAAAAAACAAAAAAAAAAAAATGGCGTCAAATTTAACGATTTCCGTTTTTAAAATTATCGATCGATTCGTTTTGTATTTTAATTAAAATCTTAAACGTACCACAACTACCTGAAACGAATGAATTTTCTTTTGCGCTTCGTTTAAAAAAATTAAAAAAAAAAAAAAAAGTAATAAAAATTTATTTGTAAACAAACAAACGGACAAACAAACAAAGAATTGCCTTCGGTTGTTTACTCAACATACTTAACATATAAAATTTTCCAAAAGAAAACAAAAAGAAAATTTTTTAAAGGCTCCCGAAATTTTTTTTTATAATAATAATAATAATAGTAGTCATTTAATTTTTGGGCGTTCGGGCGTTTTTTTAAACTTTTTTTAAGGTTCAACGATTAACATATTTATTATTATCATTATTTAAATTTAAATTTAAATTGCAATTTAAATTCAATTTCCGGTTTTTGTTTTTCCTTTTTTTTTTATTTTTATTTTTAAATTTTCTTTCAAACAGTTGACGACGAGGATTTGTCGCGGAGCGCGAGCGCGGTAAACCCGTAAAAAAAATTTTTTTTTTATTCTTTCCCCCCAATATTATTATTATTATTATTATTATCATTATTATCATCATAATCGAATAAATGGTTTTTTTCGTACCGTGTTACGTTCGAGAAATCGATTATCGTTTAACTCACGATTGTTGTAAAAAATGTTATTGTAAGGTACGTACGTCGAATGTTTTTTTTTTTCTCTTTTTTTTGACGAAGTGATTTATTTAATTTTTTCCCGTTAAAAACAATAAGTATTATTATCATTATCATTATCATTATTATTATTATTATTAATTATCTACCTTTTGCGTACATGTCAATTTCAACAAGGATAATAATAATTTTCAAAAAAAAAAAAAATATTAATTATAGTCGAATAATAAATAATAATAAAAAAATAATAATAACTATAATTATACTTTAGATATATATAAAAAAGAATTTTTACAGAGCCGTGACTAAGAAATCCTTTTTTTTCAGGTATTTATAAATAAAATAATAATAATGATAAAATATTAAATAAATGGAGAATGAAAAGAAAGAGAAAGAGAGAGAGAGAAAAGAAATAAAAGAAAATAAAAGGAAAAATTAATGAATTAAACGATTTTCTCTCTCTCTCTCTTTCTGTACTTCTCTTTTCGCTCTCTCTCTTTCTGTACCTCTCTTTTCGCTCTCTCTCTTTCTGTACCTCTCTTTTCGCTCTCTCTCTCTCTCTCTCTCTTTCTGTACCTCTCTTTTCGCTCTCTCTCTCTCTCTCTTTCTGTACCTCTCTTTTCGCTCTCTCTCTCTCTCTCTTTCTGTACCTCTCTTTTCGCTCTCTCTCTCTCTCTTTTAATTTTCTCCCTCTCTCTGTCTCTTTGTATCTCTCTTAACGATTTTTTGTGTTCACAGGGTGGTAGAAACGCACTTCATTTGGCCGCTGCCGGTGGTTACAAGGACGTCGTCGCGACGCTTTTACAAGCAAAATGGGATGCAAATTTACAAGATACCGTAAGTACCCCCCCAATCATTTTTATTGTTTGTTTGATCGTTCGTTTGTTTGTTTGCACGAAATGGCCCTTTTTTTTTCATTGGGGGTAGGGGGAGGGGGGAGAAAGGGAGGAAACAGGAATAACGGTTTTAAAACGGTTTTAAAACGATTTTTAAGGAAAACTTTAAAAATTTTTTCCTATTTATTTTGAGATGATAGAGAATGAACGCGTCATTGATCCGCCATTTTGTTTTTAATTTAAATACCCGTCGTCGGTAATAATAATAATGATAATAATAATCGAGAGTGATAATTTTTTTTTTGATAATAAATTATAATATCGCGATAAATAAATAAACTTGTGACCAAAAAAAAATCCCAATTTTTATTATTAAAAGGGGGGGGGGTAAAGCATCTACGTAATTCCGATCCATTTCGTTGTTGTTGTTGTTTGTTGGTTGTTGTAACGTCGAATATAAAAATGAAAAAAAAGATGGAAACTAGTCACGTTTTACACACGAAATCAACCTTTTTTTTTTTTTTTATTCTTTTGCTAGAATGAATTTTTTTTTCCCCCCTCCGGGTACGAATCGAACAAACGGTTTGTTTGACCCTCACGAATATTTGTTTGTTATAAAAAAAAAAAAGGACAAACATGGTTTAATAGAAATTAAATTAAACGATGATGATGATGATGATGGCGGCGAATGAAATTGAAAAAAAAAGTTGATCGTCCTAAAGGCGTTGTTGTTGTGTTAAAAAAAAAAAAATTCCTTTTTTCTTTTTCGTTATTATTATTATTATTATCATTATTATCTTCTTCACTTTCTCTTGATGATGATGATGATGATAATAATATAATGAAAATTAAATGGGTGAAATTAATTGATCAAACAACAACTTTTAAAACAAAAAAAAAAAAAAATTAATATTTTCATTCATCAAAAAAAAAAAACAAAAAAAAAAAACTTATTATAAATGTCAATAACCCGTTAACATGTGTGACAACTTGAGAAAAACAAAAAAAAAAAAATTATGTTGGCGGCTTGACGACGACGTCGTCGTCGTCGTCCTCGAAACATTTTTTTTTTTTTGTTTAAATTTTTTAATGTTTTAATTGTTTCGCGTAAGAAAAAGAAGAAAAAAATTCACGACACGCCTACAAAAAAAAAAAAAAATTCCCGCCCCCACCCACCCCTCTTTCCCCCGACTCGCGAATATCTTTTTATTCTAAAAATAAAGAACAACAACAACCACAACTCAACAACAACAACAACAACAAACAAGCGAGTAATAAATTTCAATCGAAAAAAACTTGGCGAACAATAAAAAAAAAAAATGAAAACAAAAACGTTAGTAAAACTCGATTAGTTTAAAATTTTTTTTTTTTTTTGTTAAATCGATCGATAATTAATCGATTAATCGTAAATCGAAAAGTTAAGCAGAAGACAAAATAAGGATGGAACTTTTGTAATTTTTTTGAATCATTTTAAACGTCAAATAATATTAAAAAAAAAAAAAAAAAAAAAAAAAAAAGGCGCGTTCGTTTGAATTTCAAATTTAAAAAAAAAAAAAAAAAATCGACGCCATATTTGTCCTCGAGTCAATTGGATCATAGATTTATTTTGATACGTCACTCGTTTCTAATTCAAATAATAATAATAATAATAATGATAATAATAATAATACTAATAGTAATAATAATAATAATAATAAAAGATGAAACTTTCGCCGACCTCGTTTGCAAAACGCAAAGCAACAGAAAAAAAAAAAAAAAAAAAAAAGTTAATTGAAACGTTGCCCCACGATGATGACGATGATGATGATGATGATGAACAAAACGATATTTTTTTTTATCGATTGGCAATCGATCGATTAATTAACAAATACTACTTAAATTATTCATTTAAACAGACGTCAGTTAGAAAAAAAAAATTTATAGTAAAGTAACAGAAGCCATTTTGTTTTAATATATTATATTATGAATATGAAATTTTAACTCTCGTTGTTTTTTTTTTTTTTTTCAAGTATTAAAAATTAAATCTTTTCACGTTTATATGTAATCACGTCAAAAAATGTTTTTGTCTTCTGCTCATTGAAAACAGAAACAGAAACAAACAAAACGTTCGCGCAAATATTTAATAAACGTCATTGTTTGAAGAGAGAGAGAGAGAGAGAAAAAAAAAAGTTTTTAACGGTCATGTCGTGTCTCGCTTTTTGTATTTTCATAATGAATGAAATTTTCAATCTGTCAATGTTTTTTTACCAATTAATTTATCAATCGTACAAAATTATTTCTCTTTATCATTGATCACGTGATTAACCGTCATCATCATCATCATCATCATCATCATCGTTATTATCATTATTATTTCCACGAGATTTTTTTTCGATAACGTATCTCATATAGGGAAAGAAAAAAATATACGTTTGGGTGTATCGATCAATCGATCGATCGATTGATTTTTTTTTAACGGTTTTTTATTTCAAAATCGATTATTATTATTATTATCATCATCATCATCATCATCATCATCATTATCATGCCCCGGTTTATTTAAAACGAAAATAATAATAATAATAATAATAATAATAATTTTTTATTCACGGAATGAAGTTATTTAAATAAAATAAAATAAAAATGGGGAGGGGGTTGTCACCGAGTGTTTCGACGACGATAATGATGATGATGATAAGGTGAATGAAGGGGGGGAAAAAAAAAAAAAAGGTTCAGGTTTTTTACAACCGTCGGAATTATAATTAAGGTGGCGGTGGCGGATTCAGGTATATTTTTATTAAACGGTAATGGAGGGAGGGAATTTTTATCGACTGACTATCTGTCGAAATAAAAAGAAACTCGTTTCCGTTTGGTTTTTTTCTCCCCCTCCCCTCGCTCCCCCCTTCGTTTTGTATGTAAAATAATAATAATAATAATGAATGAATTAAACGTATTTTCAGGCTGGATGTACTCCATTGCAAAGAGCAGCAGCAGAGGGTCATTTGGACGTCGTTAAACAATTAATTAAACACGGAGCAAATGTCAACGTGCAAGACAAAATCGTGAGTACATTATTATCATTATCATTATTATCATTATTATTATTATTTTGGTACTATTAATTTTTTCGTTTTCCATTTCCAGCACGGTAACACGGCATTACACGAAGCGAGTTGGAAGGGATATAGTAAATGCGTCGAAGAACTTTGCAAAGCCAATAAAATCAATTTGCAGGTGAAAAATGCCGGAGGATTCGCTCCTTTGCATTTGGCTTGTCAAAATGGTCACAATCAAAGTTGCAGAGAGCTATTAATGGCAAATTGTAATCCGGATATACAAAATAACGTAAACAAATTAATTTTTATTTATTTATTTATTTATTGATTTCCGATCGATAACAATAATTTTTTTCTTTTTTTTTTGTTAGTATGGAGACACTCCTTTGCACACGAGCGCACGTTACGGTCATGCAGGTGTTACGAGAATTCTAATTAGTGCCGATTGCCATATGTCGGATCAAAACAAGGTGAGAGGAAAAAGACAAGGAAGGGAGGCGGGGAGACAGACAGACAGACAGGCAGGGAGACAACCTAACAAATAATTTTTTTCTGGTTTTTTTGTAGAACGGAGATACCGCTTTGCACATAACGGCAGCAATGGGAAGAAGAAAATTAACAAGAATCCTACTCGAAGCCGGTTGCGATCCGAATAAAAGAAACAAAGCAAGTAGTACCACATTTAAAAAAAAAAAAAAATGAATAACGAAACGTGAGTTTGTAAATATACTAAACAGTTTTTTGATTTTTTTTTTTTTTTTCTAGCAAAACGAAAGAGCTAAAGACATAGCGGTGAGAAAAGATCTCGGTGAAATTGTGGAAATCATCGATAAAACGATTCCGTTGAAAAAAAAAGAAAAGCAAAAGGATAAAAAGGAAAAAGAAAGGGATAATAATAATAATGATGGAAAGAAAAGGGGAAAAGAAAGCGGGAGCAGCAAAGACAGCAGCACGAGGCCGAAAGATAAGAAAAAACCGAAAAGCGAACATCAGGTACACTTCGAAGAACCCGTCGAACCCGCCAAATGGTCTCCCTACGGTTGTCACTATTATCCGGATTCTAAAACGTTTCCAAAACCCAAATTGGATTCTTTGCCACACGAACCGCTGAAAAAGGGCGAACAGTATTATTTGGATTTGGCTGGAAATATAAGGAAGGTGAGTAAAAAATAATTCATTCCTTTGTAAAATTGAACATTTATAATGATAATAATGATGGTAATGATAATAATTTGCATTTTCAGGGACCCGTCGGCGTCGGATACACGTGTTATTGCGCTCCCTTTTTCCGTCACATGGAAGAACGATTGGACAGAGATAAAAAAGAATTGAAAGAACACATTGACGCGGCTCAAATACGATTGGATAAAAAAGTGACGAGTTTGGAAGTGAAAACGAGGAGTCAATTAAACGAAATAACGAGGAGCATGGCGTTGGAAAGAGTCAAATGTCAACAGAGGCACTTGCATTTGGAACAGTGGTTAATCAGAGGGTCGATATTTAGAAATTCCGAAAAACCCAAACCGACGGAATACGTCAACGCTCGAATATCGAAATCCAAAAGTCTCGAAAACATACTCGAAGAAAATCGACACTGTTCGACGAGGAGCGACAACAACAATCTTCATCGTAGCGTCGACGTGTTAAACGACCAACGTTTGATAGAAATCGAAAAAGAGAAAAACGAAGATTTTAAAAATAGGAGTTCGTCGAGGGAGGGAAAAGAATCGGGAAAAGGGAGCAGCGAAATAGAAGAATTGGGTTCGACGGACGGAGAAGACAACGTTGACGGCCACGAGAAAAAACACGTGCAACGACTCGGAGATTTAAACAATCACGAAAGGAAAATGCAACAAAGGACCCGAGAGATAAGCGAAAGAATCGATCGGATATTGGAAAACAACGACAACAACGACGGAATGAACGTCATCTGCGACGAAATGCTAAAATGGAAAAGTTACCACAATGCTTACAGCGAAACAAGAGAAAACCAAAGAATTCCAATCGAACGACAGCCGCACCAACAGCCACAGCAACAACAGCAACAGCACCAAGTTCTTCAAAGGCCTCAATCTCAATGGAATAAAACCAGGCATTTGGAAAATCGGCGTTCGTATCACGATATTCTAAGGGACGAAGACCGCGACGCGAATGGGAGAAAAGAAGACGTCGATAAGAGAACGAGAAGACTTTCCGATCCATCTCTCGGGTCCGCCGTCGAAGAACCGGAAAGGAAATCCGTACAAGAAATAATTTCGAAACTACAGAGGCAACACACGGTTCAAGAATTGGTGGCGAAGATACAGAAGAAAACCGGACTCATACACAAATCCGCTCAAAAATGGAAAGAGAACAAACTCCTCAAAAGCAGAGAAAAGACGGTCAAGTACTTCGACGCGGAAAACGACGTGGGATTAGATGAAGACCCGACGACCCGAACCGCGGACTACACGAAACACCCTCACAACTACGAGAACATACGACAGTGGGACGTACCGAAAGAAAAGCTATCTCAATTACCTTACAGGTGCAGGAATACCGTTTACAGTCCGTCATTTTCGAAGAGTCCACCACTCAACGATCCCGAATACCAAAGACGCCTACAACACGAATCGCCGAACCGCGGAAGGGGAGCAGCCGAGGAGTACACACGAAGGGGATACGAGAGAAGACATACCTATGAAGAGGATCCTGAACTCCTGAGAGGTGACGACAACAACTCCACGACAGCCGACATGGGTAACGAATTGTACGGTTACGTTCCATCCTCCGGTATGTACCACCACCACGATCCCGTGACATCCTCGGATCCTAGGAAGACGTCGACGACGACGATGATGATGATGATGATGAGACAGGGAGAACGTCACACTTACAGTCCGACTCCAAACGATTCCGGGTACAGTACGAAGCCCTACGGAGGAAGTTCTACGGGTCCTTCTCCATCCCTGTCCGGTGAGCGATGTCCCCAAGTTGTGAATCAGTCTATTCTCCCCTGCCCAAACAAAAAACAATTAATTAATAATGATTTTTCTACAGGGCAAGATTTCGATTCGGTACTACCGATGGAAACGCCCCCCCAATTACCGATTCATTTACAAAAATCATTAGAAGGCCGAACTTCAAGTTTAGTTTAATTTAATAAATTAATAATTTTTTTTTAATTATTTTCACTGTAAAATAAATTTTTATTTTATATATATATATACGTGTGTACTTAATTCCGTTACCTAACCGTTTTCCCTATGCAAAAAAAAAAAAAAAAAAAAAAAAAAAAGCGCGGGGGGCAAAAGGGGGGGGCGCGAAAGGGGGCGAAAGAAAAAATTTAAAATTAATTACCTGAAATAGTGGGGGTTTCGCGAGGTTTCATCACACTTTCCTTCCTTGTTCAGGAGGCAGACGTTTTAACTTTATCCAAATGATAATTCGCAGCTTCCAATTCATCAAAATCCGCGAGAGTCGTGTGATAAAGTGGAATCCCTTTGAGAACTTGAGAGCTTGCATCATTTATCTGAAATATAATTTTCCCAATTTTAGTTTTAGTGATAAAAAACAAAAAAAACAAGAAAAAAAACGAAAAACTTTCAAAATATTAATTCAAATCATTACTCACGTGTACGACCACGTAATCTCCTGGTTTTATGACCCTCGAAACTGAACTATTCGAATTCCTGGAAGAGGGAACGTCTTGTGCTGGAATGATGACTTTTATGTTGCCGTCGTTTCTCCCCGCGAGATATTCATTTGATCTTTTGCTAAACTTTTTTTTTTTTTTTTTTTTGAAAACAAAAAAACAAATCCAAATTTTAAAAAAAAAAACAGGCAATAATTTAAAAAATGAAAATTTTAAGAAATAATAATAATAATAATAATAATAATAATACTTACTCCTTCTATTAAAATCACTTGAACTTGATTGATTTGACTTTCGTTTAATTTTTTACTTATTCTACGAAATTCTGCGCCGACCTCTTGGAATCTTCTCATTTTTACTTCTTGTGGCACATCGTCTTCGTACCTTCTGTGTGCTGTCGTTTTCTGTAAAAAAAAAAAAAAAAAAAAAAAAAAAATTTGTCATGAAATGGCGTTTAACAAAAACAAAAGTAAACACTAAAGAAAAATTAATAATATTGGGTTGACTCGACAAAGTAATTGTGGATTTTTAGCAATACTCTTCGCTTTCCCAGGATCTTTTCCTCAAAATGTTGTTGTACACAACCCCCCCCTTTTGCTTCAAAAATGGGTCATTGGGTCATTCGCACTGCCCTTAAGACTGCCATATGGCAATGACCAAATTGTCTCGTTAACTCACACTCCCCAGGGTTAAGTGCATTAAGCTTTTTTTGGTACCCAAGATGCTGCAGATGGTTTTCGATTCACATATGTGACACATTTAGCTTCTCTGCAATGCCCCTTGACAAACTATCCCAATCATAATCAATGAGAGCCTTTATTTGTTCATCACTGACCTTCACTGTAAATGCTCCATTTGGCCCCCCCACAACATAACAATTCAATGAAATTTCAATACTGAATGTTACAGAAGCAACCGAATAATAATAATAACAAATCAAAAGTTCTTTTTGTCTGCGTGTACTCAAAAACATGGACAAACTACCCCTTGGTGAAATCCACAATTACTTAATTGCCAACCCAATAATTAAGTTAATATTACTTACCTCTCTCATACTGTAGGGAAAAAAATACATTTGGTGATATTGTATCAATCTAATCATTTCCATGGTATCCTCATGATCTTTTTCCGTTTCCCCACAAAATCCAGTGATTATATCAGTTGACAAAACTATATTCGGAATCAAAGACCTTATGTTTTCAACAAGTTTTATATAAGCTTCTCTAGTGTATCCTCTTCTCATTCTTTCTAAAACTTGATTACTTCCGGATTGAATGGGTAAATGTATGAAATTGCAAATGTTTTTACGTTCTTTAATTAAATGTAACACCTGCAAACGAAAAAAAAAAAAACCATTATAATAATAATAATAATAATAATAGAAACAATGATTGTAACAATGAAAACAAACAGAGTTTTACAAAATATTTAAATCAAACTTACATCATCTGGAAAATCTTTCGGATGAGGAGATGTAAATCTAATTCTCATTTCCGGATTAACTTCGGAAACTTTATCGAGTAATGTACTGAATCTAACACCGCCTATTTTGGGCTTATAAACCGTTTTGAAACCGTCTGCTACCACTGTTGGTTCATTAAAGGTAGACAAATACTCCTTCGATTTAATATCTCTGTAACTGTTAACATTTTGCCCTAAAAAAAAATTAAAAATGAAGTTATTTTTTTTTGTTCATTTTTTCATTTCAAAAGTTTGCCAATAAATTTTTGTTATAATTTTACCTAGTAATGTAATTTGTTTAACGCCTTGATCGGAAAGAATTTTAACCTCTTCTAAAATTGAATCGATGGGTCTCGATCTTTCTCTTCCTCTTGTAAATGGAACAATACAATATGTGCACATATTATCACAACCTCTCATAATAGATCTGGAAAAAAAAAGTAACAGACATTTTAAAATTATGACTCTTAAACACCATGCATATATATATATATATAAAAAAAAAAAAAACATTATTAATAATCACTCACACAAAAGCTGAGACGTTATTTTCATTAAGCCTCACTGGCATCACATCGGCATAAGTTTCATCGAAAGACAAAAGCACATTGATAGCTTTTTGATTGTTACTGGTTGTTGTTAGCAATCTAGGTAGATCTTTATAAGCATCAGGTCCAGCCACTAAATCCACAATTTTTTCTTTTTCAATAACTTTATCCTTTAACCTTTCAGCCATGCAACCTGAAAAATGAATTTTATAAATAATAAATATGAATCGAATGAAAATGACATGAAACGAAGAAAATCGTATGATGTAGGTTTGCATACCGAGAAGGCCAATTTTCAAATTTTTTTTTTTCTTTTTTAAATGATTTAATTCTTTTAATTTGAACCATATTTTAGACTCTGCAGATTCTCTTATGGAGCATGTTAGTATGAAAATAACATCTGCGTCATCTTTAGAAAGCGTTCTTTGATAACCATGCTTTTGTAAAACTGATAAAACAATTTCAGCATCGTTGACATTCATCTGACAACCATGAACTTCTAAAAATACTGTAAGGAAAAAAGAAAGAAAAAGAAAATTATAAATTAAGCAACGATTGAAATTATACCCCTTCGTAGGAGAAAAAAAAAAAATGAATTATAAAAATTTAAGATTTATGAAAAAACGCCATTAATTAAAAAGAATTTTTCATCATTATAAGTAAAAAAAAAAAAAAAAAATTAAATTATAAAAACCTTTTTGATTTCCTCCGTGTATAGTAGTGTCATTCAAATAAGGTATATTATCACTTTTAACATCAATCCATGACTGAATTTTATTATTCTGTTCTTTAATTAAAAAATCTTTCAGAGTTGGTTCTTTTCCTGTTGGTCCCGGGCCATGTGTCCTCCTTAAAATTTGAGAAGCCGACGTTTCAAATTTAAATAAATTACAATTTAAACTATTATTATTATTATAATTAAATAACTTATTTGATCTTAATAAAAGTCTCGGTATTTTTTTCATTATAATTTACTTTTCAAAAAAAAAGAAAAAAGAACACTGATTCACTAACGCACGTTCTTTACTTCACGGCGTGCAGATGAAAAAAGAAAAAAAAAAGTGGCATTAGAAATAATTATTAAAATCACGTGATTCGATTCCTGATTTAAAAATAAACTTTTTTTTTCTCACAATGTTGAGAAAGTTATAAAATTTTTTTAATTTTTTTATATTGTTATTATTATTATTATTATTATTTAAAATGGAAATACCAAAGATGAAAATATTAATATACGTTTTAACGTTTTTGGGATACGCATGGAGCGGTTACGGTTCCGGTTTATTGGAAAATATACGAGATGCCGTCGAAGCAGCCGAAGGTTTTTTCGTTAATTTTTTAGAAAACGCAGGAGATATTGTCAAAAAATTAAACGAAGGTTATCGAATTTTAGATGCATCCAAGGATAATTGTAAATTTTCATGTCCTTCAGGTAATTATTAAATGATAACGAATCAAACCGACCCGCAGGATTTTTTGTGTTATATTATTAATAATTTTTTCAGGTGAAATTCCAGTTAAAAATAAATATTACAAACCGAGCAGTAACGGATGTGGAACTGATATATTAAAATTAAAGGTGATTCAAATTTTTTTTTTAAATTTCTTTTTTTTTCCCACTCGACAAAACCAAAAAAATATTTTTCCATCTTTTATTTTTTAGATTAAAGAATATATTCCTAGTTTAGATATGACCGAATGTTGTGATCAACACGATTTGTGCTACGACACATGTAATAATTTAAAATCTCACTGTGATAATTTGTTCAAAGATTGCCTTTATAAATTATGTGATAATAGCAGTAAATTAGATCCCCTAGTTAAAGCTTGTAAAGTGGCAGCTTCTATGGCTAGCGGATCCATGACTCTGGGTTGTAAATCATATCTTGAAAGTCAGAAAAAAAGTTGTTATTGTTCATTGAGCGACAAGAAAAGAAAATATGAAGCAGGCGGAGAATTGTAAAACAAATCGCTATCATTTTCAATTTTTTTAAAAATTGCAACAATTTTATTTTCGATATTAATATTAATTTTATTACCAATATAAACAAACAATGAGCTGTAAGTGATGACTTCTTCAGTATTTTAAAACGAATAAATATTTTTTATTTATTAAATTTTTTTTTTGGTCATCTTTGTGATTTAGATATAATAAATTCAAAAAAAATTGAAAAATTTTTTTTTTTAAACAACATTTACTTAATCATTTTTTTTATTATTTACTTACTTTTAACATTTTCTATTTTTTTTTTGAAAAAAAAAAATTTTATTTACATAAAAATTAATCATGTCTCCTTTTTGTTTAAACATCAGTTGAGTAATCTTCTAATTTTTTATGATAAATGGTGACGTCAGCAACGTGAATGTTTGGAACGTTAAATTCTCTTTCGACGATTTCACGATCGAATGGGTAACCCAATGGGTGGGCATCACCACAAACGACGTTTCCTCCGCATGTCACGTAAGTTTTGACTCCTCTGACGACTTCTTTGGTTCCGGTTGGTTTGTATGGAGTTACGACAACGTGTAATGTGTAAGGAGTACCGCTCTTGGTTCCCTTGGGAAGAAGGAGTCTACGTGGGAAACCGTATTCTTGTCCTTTCTGTAAAAACCAAAAAAAACAATTTTCCTAATCTTTGTTTTGGTTGTTGTTGTTGTTTGAAAATTAGTAAAAACTCACGTCGTTGACGTAAAATTGCGATTTTCCTTGAAGAGCATCTTCGACTTTCTTCGACAAAACACGGAAACTGGTAAAATCGGGAACGGAAACGGTTGAATCTTTGGAATTACGTTCGATGACGGTTTTACCGTTCTTGAGGTCGTATAAAAATCTGTCGATTTGTACCATGAATTGTTTTTTCTCGGCGAGACTGAGTTCTCTGGTACCTGTCACGTCGTATTTGGGTGCGAGGAAAACGTGAACCAAAGCAGTCGTGTCTTGGTTGCTGTTTACCGTCACGCGGTAAGTGAAATCTTTGTGGTTCAAACGTGGTTGACGTACGACGATTTTCAATAATTTGTCGTCTTCGACCTTTCCGACGACTACGGCGTTGGTCACGTCGACATCAAAGTTTTCAAAATACGTCATCAATTTGTCGACTTCGACTTTTTCAACGGTCACGCCGGGGAATTGTAAAGTTTCCTTCGTGTAAACGGGAAGAGTTTTTTTGTAAGATTCGAAAATTCTGTTGACGTGTTGGTAAAGTCTGTAGTACATGGGATCGCGAAGCATGGTTTCGTAGTGTTGAAGAACGGATGGGGCAACGTTATTTTGATGGTAAGGATCGACGACGTGTCCCAAAAGGTTAAGAGTGAGTTGGTACAAAGCTCCGTAGTATTTAGGATTGACGGAAGTGATTCCTTTTTGAACGAGACGACCGAGAACGTCGATTCCGGTTTCGGTTGTCAATGGTATTTTTTCTCCTTTGACCGTTTTCACGTAGCCTTGGTCGACAGCGTCACGAAGTCTACGTTCGTAATCTTTCACGCGTTCGACTTCGGCCAAATCGTAGTCGCGAATTTTAATGTTTTCAGGACGAGAGGGTACGGCTTCACCGTTGAAGTAACGCAATTTAGGAGCGTAGGCCACAACGTTCGGTTCTCCAAAGCTGAAGTTTTTCATCGGGTACATGAAATTAGCGTGACGTTCTAATCTGTAGCGAGCAAGGAGTTGTTGATGAGTGAAGTAGAAAAGTTCACCTTGACGTTCGTTTTTGATACCGTAGTATTCTTGTTTGAGCCATTGGGGGTAAGTGAGGTGATGAACGAAATGGTAAAAGTTCAATCCGACATCTTCGGTGAAGTAAGAGGTACGAAGTTCGGGGTTTTGAAGGTTGATCCATCCGGTGTAGTTTGATGGTATGACGACGGATTCTTTTCCGGTACCCATCGACGAAATTTTCATTCTAGCTTCGTAAGCTTTTTGAATTGTTTTTTCGTTGACGTAAAAATGTGGGCAAACTTCGTAGAGAGGTGGAAGAACGACTCCTTGAGTGTCGGGACGATGGAGAACGGCAGCGGAAAACGCGTAGACAAAGAGGCCATAGTTGACGCGTTCTCTCAAGTAAGAAGCCACGTTGAAAAACGTTTTCCAATCTTTTGCGTTGTAAAGAACTTCGAAAACGGATTTTGCTTGACGGAGATGAGTTTTGTACAATGGACTAAAATTATTTTTACGTCCCAAAATTCCTCCCGTCTTGAGCAAATTGATTAAATTTTCAACGGTTTTAACATCGTTGAAATTGTTAACGTTTTGTTCCCAGTTAAACGTTGTTGCTACTTCTTTTATTTCAGGTACGACTGCGGGTTGATGAATGTGTACCAATAATTGAAGTACGGCTTTTTGCTTTGACAAAAAGTCCTTGTCGGCTATTATAAAAAAAAAAAAAAAAAAAAAAAACGTTTCAAAATCTTCTTCTTTTGTGGAATCGAATAATTTTAAACTGATTTGTTATCCTTTCATTTCTTTCCTGTCCCCCCCCCCGCCATTTTAAATTACACTAAAAAATAATAATAATAATAATAATGTTTTTGTAAACTCTTACCTTCGATTTTTTTTTCGGTGCCATGTTGAACGTGAGCCGTGGCAGCCAAAGCTACCAAACAGGCGAGAAAAACAAAAAACTTCGACATGGTTATTAGATATTATTATTATTATTTATCTAAACCACTCGTTTGAGTTTTACATAATAAATTTCAAATCTTTTATAACTTTTAACCGTCCTTGGAAAACGCCACGAAACGATTAAAATTTGCTTTTACAACAAAATTTTTACCAAACGATTCATTTTTTTTATTTATTTCTTATTATAATAAAAATAAATTTATAAAAGATCACCCTAAAGACCAAAGACCAAACAATATTATTATTTTTTAACTGTGCGTGTCATTTCCCCCCCCCCTTACTCCGTCCCCCCATAATATATATATATATTCTGGATGATTCTCTCCTTTGACGTTTTTTGAAATTTTACATTTATTGCGCTTCAATTTCACACTTAAAACAAATTCAAATTTGTGACGTCACTTTCGTCGCGATTCATCTCGTTCGTTACAAACCTTAAACAAAAAAAAAGGGGGAGGAGAGTGGGAGCGAAGAGGGAAGGAGCCTCAAGTCATTTTTATCCCCTTACGCGTAATCCTTTCCCGTTTAAAAATGCGTTTAAATACGTGCATTTATTTAAAAAAAAAAAAAAAAAATTACATATTTCCCTATCACGTCACGTGGCATTTTCTCCAGATTTCATTTTACTGGACAAAAAACAAAACAAAAATTTCCCCGGAATGATGATCACGTGTTTAAAAATTTACTTCCTCTTTTTTTTTGTGTTTGCTCCTCGGATTTGTAAATTTTGCATTTGCAAAAAAAAAAAAAAAATTGTAACAAATAACCTTCACCTTTAGTTTATTATTATTATTATTATTATTATTATTATTATTATTTTATTTAAGATAACCCGTACATGAATTTTGTAAGCAGAAAAAAATTTTTTTTTTTATTTTTTATCGTTTTTTTCCTCTTTCTCTCTCTCTCTCTCTCTCTCTCTCTTATGATATATGTTCGCCATTTTAAAATGATAAAAACCTTTCGTCGAGTTGTCAACTTAAAGCAATTTGCTGTTGTTGTTTTTACATTATTTTCGGTAACGGAGAAAGAGTGAGAGAGAGAGAGAGAGAGAGTGAGAAAACCGGAAAGAAATAAAAGTTGGTGGGTGTTTGTTGGTACCACCAGGGAATGGTGTCGTTTAAAACGTGGTAACAAGAGGGAAGACATTACGAAAAGGTGATTTCCTCTTCCGGTTTGCCATAGGAGAAAGTAACTCCCCCCCCCCTTTTTTTTTTAACAGGACCAGAGAGGATTTAATGAACCGTCAAAAAAAATATTTGGGAAATATTCCGGGAACGAAGGATGGAACATTTCCGGGTTTATTATGGATTGTTAAAATCTTCGAGGTTTCAAACAAACAAAAAAAAAAAAAAAGAACAAACAACGTGTTATTGTTGTCGTGTGACGTAACATTAAATGATGACGTGTAAAAGGAAATTAGAATTTCCGGTCTAGAAAAGAAAAAACGGGATCACGGTTGGGATTTATAATACGAACAATTTACGGGATCTTTTTTTTTTTTTTTTATTGACTTTTCTCTTTTATTTTTAACGATCGCAACCAGAGAAACATCCGACATTTTTAAGAAATTTATTATTATTATTATTATCATCATTATCATTATCATTATTATTATTATTTTTTAAACGGGAATATTCTGGAGAGAGATAAAAAAATAAATAAATAAAATAAAATTTGATTTCACGTTCGGCATTTTTCCAGTCGCCTCCAGGATTTTTTCTTTTCTTTTTTCATTTGTTAAAATAATTTAATAATAATAATAATAATAATAATAATAATAATAATAATAATGATGATGATGATGATGATGATAATGATGATGATAATAATAATAATAATAATAATAATAAAAAATTTATTTTTTATTTTTTCCATTTGGCAATTCTTTTTCGTCCATTTTTGTTTCTGTTTCTTTTTCCCTTCCTCCCTCCCTTCCCCACCCCCCTAAAAAAAAGAAAATTTCCTTTTAAGAAATAAAAAAAAAAAAAAAAAATTTACCGAAAAATAATAATAATGATAATAATAATAAATTTTAAATCGTCGTCGTCGTCGTCGTCATCGTCCTACATTTTATTTATTGTTAACATTTAATTTTTTTTTTTTTAAACCGGAAGTATTGCTAGTACCGCATCGTTTCCGGTTTTTGTTTTTAATAAATAAATTTCCGTATATGGGGATATTAATTATTCGAGATTGTAAAATTTTTTTTTTTTTTTTTTTAAATATAGAAAATCCATTCAAGGTTTTTGTAAAACGGAAGTTGCCAGGGCAACACTATATTTGACTAAGTTGAAAATTTATTAACCTTTGGTCTTTACTTTTCCTAAAAACTAATTTCCTCTCGCTCACATGTTTTCCTTTTAAAAAAAAAAAAAAAAAAATATTTTTCCTTTGACAAACTCCCCCTCCCCCCTCCCCCTCCTTTTTTTTTAAATGCATTAAAAACAAGATAAAACCTTTTTATAAATTCATAAATGCGACACTTTCACTATATAAATGTTTGTGTTTGCTCAAAGGAAAAATGATATCATTTAACACAAGGATGAGAAATAGTAAAACTTTTTATGTTTTTCTCTTTTTATTGTTTCTTGTAAAAGTGCTTGATTATTTAAATTAAAATACTCAAAAGAATTTTGTTGAAGGGATGATGATGAGGGGGATGGTGGGAATGATGATGTCAAAGGAGGAAGAAGGAGTTGGGTGTGGTGGTGGTAAGAATAAAAGTGAAAATGATGATGAGGGGGATGGTGGGAATGATGATGTTGAAGGTGAAGAAGGAGTTGGATGTGGTGGTGGTAAGGATGACATTGAAGCTGATAGTAGGGATGTTGTTTTACATGATAGTGGGATCCTGAAGAAAATAATGATTGGATTGGTGGTGGTGGTGGTAATAAGGATGAAAGTGATAATGATGATGAAGGGGATGGTGGTATGATAATGTTCAGGGTGAAGAAGGAGTCGAATGTGGTGGTGGTGGTGGTAGGAATGATATTGAAGCTCATGGTAGGGATGGTGGTTTAGATGATATTGAAAAAAATAATGATTGGGATGGTGGTGGTAAGGATGACATTGAAGCTGATGGTAAGGGTGGTGATGGTGGTGGTTAGGATGAAACCGATGGTGAAGATGGTGGTGGTGGTGGTGGTAATGGGAATAAAAAAAATTTAATGGAAAATTTTTTCAATAATAATTTTCTTTCTCTCTCTCTCTCTCTCTCTCTCTCTCTCTCTCTCTCTCTCTCTTTCAAGTGTTTTGCAAAAAATCTTCAATAATTTATTTACTTTTTTTTTTCAATTTTATTCTGGAGAATTCCAAAAAAAATATATATATATACATAAATTTCCAGAATTGTTTTTTATGTTTTTTTTTCTTTTCTTATTACTTTCTATTATTATTATTATTATTATTATTATTATTATTATTATTGTGCGACATTGATTTTACTTTTTTTAATAAATTTTTAAGAAAATAAACAATAAAAAATTTTTCTGGAGCTTTTTTTCCTTTTCCTTTTTTTATTAATGTTTACTATTTATTTATTTATTTATTATAAATTCAATGTTTTTAAATTAAAATAATAATAATGATGATGATGATGATGATGATGATGATGATGATAATGACGACGATGAAAAATAAATAAAATAAAAATTTAATGAAAATTGAAATGAAAAAAAAAAAAAAAAAAAATTTTTTTTTTTTTAAATTTTTTTCCTCACAAATCCAACCATATACGACGATTTAATACGACGGGAAGGGAGGCGGTGGGAGAGGAGGGTGGGAAGAAAGGGGGGGGGAAAAAGTTTTTCCAGCATCTGCGCAAAACTCATTTAACTCCAACTTAAACAGATTTGTTTATTTTTTTAAAAGTCGGTTAACGTTTCAGGTATAAAGTTTTCGTTTTTTTTTCATTTTTTTAATTTTTTTCTTCTTTAAACCGAAAAAAAGTTTACGGAGTTAATAATTATCATTATTATTATTATCATCATTATTATCATCATCATTATTATTTAAATTTTAAATTTGATTAAAAAAATTTTTTTATAACTGCATCAATTCAAAAAAAAAAAAAAAAAAAAAAGGTAAAGTTGAAAAAAAAACTTTTTATTACCTCTTTTTATTTACTTATTTATTTACTTTTTTTAATAATATTATTAATTTATGTATTCGTTTATAAAAAATTAACTAATCGTTACCCCTTACCCCTCCCCCTTAATAATAATAATAATAATAATAAATCAAGTTTTTAATATATTTTTTTTTTCTTTCAATTAACTCTAATAATAATCAATAAATAATTTATTAATTTTACGGATATATTATTATTATTATTATTATTAATTACGGTAATTATTTATTTATTTATTTATTGAATTTCCGGTTCGATTAATTTATTTTTTTGTCAATAACGACATTTTTTAAATTGATTTTTCTAGTAATAAAAAGTAATTAATTCGAGATTAATGTTGTTGTTGTTGTTGTTTGTATTTTCTTTAATTACGTTTTTACTTAAAAAAAAAAAAAAAAACATGACGAATGCAAATAATTAACAACCGCAAAAAAAAAAAAAGTTTGCTAATGGATAGAAAATTCCAGAAAGGATTTAAATTTAAAAAAAAAAAAAAAAAAAAAATTTTTTTGGAAATGATAAAATCGACTGCTGGAGAATTAAATTATTAATTACGATAAATTATATACGTCAAACGACGAAACAACAACGCATTATAAAAATTAATCAAACGGAAAAATATTTAATTAAAATTTTTTTTTAATAAAAAATTATTTACATAAATTTACATGATAATAATAACTACAAATAAATAAATAAATAAATAATTACTTATTTACATAAATACGTTTTTTTTTTTTTTTTACTTCTTTTTTTCCTTTCGATTTAATCGTTTTTTTCTTTTTTTTTTTACGGATTATTATTTTTTTATTTATACTTAAAATATATTATAGAATTTATTATTATTATTATTATTATTATTGTTACTATTATTAGTATTAGTATTATTATTATTATTAGAATTATTATTATTATTATTATCACTGAAAGAATTTTCCGTCGGGGATTTTTATTGTAATTTTTTTTTTTTTTTACAAAATTTATTTTATAATGATTGTCATAGTACGGAACATTCTAGAAAGATTTTTTGTTGTTGTTGTTGTTCGTTTTTCGAAATCGATCGAAATGTTTTTAATCAAATAATAATAATAATGATAATAATAATAAAATTTTCGTTTCAATTATAAAAAGTTTTATGTGTCGTAGAAAAAAAAATAATAATAATATTTTGAGTTCGACAAAAAAATTTATTATTATTATTATTGTTGTTATTATTAAATCTTAACCGCGACAGTTAGTCTTTGTCGGAGCTTTTTCTACATTTATTTCATGTTTCTACCTGTCAATCCCTAAGGAATAAATGCCTGAATATCAGTGATACTGCAAGCCTTATGAATAGGTTTTGGTCTTTTATAACCTAAACAGCATCACAACAATTCTTGTGAGTCTCACTGAGACCATCTTATTCGATGGAAACAAGTTATCTCCTGTACTGGGCCTGTGCTGGAGTGGCCAGAAACAGGAGAAGTGAAATTCACAACCTTATCAACCTCAGGTCAACAATAGAACAAGATTTGATTTAATTCTGTCTTTATCTTGTTCTCATTTTGCTCTATTACAATTGTATATCTGTTATCATATATCTTTTTCCTTAAAACTACTTCAATACTTAATTTTCCTACTATTTCCTCCTTTCATAATTAACCCTCATGCATTTCATCTTTAATGTATACAAACTACAATTTTGTACCTATAAACTCAAGTAATCTGAAGGCAGTTGAATTTTTCTAATCATAATTGACATTAAAAAAGAATTTTACACTAAACACATGACAAAATATGTTATAATGAATCAAACTAACTTTAGAAAAGGGTTAAAATAACATACAATTAGTGAATCCACACTTAAAATAGGAGTACAGACATTTTACATTCACTACATACACTAAATAATGTACAATCAATAGATTCACACTTAAATCAAAAGTACAAAGATTCTACACCCACCTGATGCAATGAATTAATGAATTACAAGTATTTCTATTTAACTACCTTTATTTTTACTTAATGTGACAGGGGTATTTAGCTCAACTACTCGTAATCAGCTCAAGAGATGTAAAATTATTGAATAGAGTTTATTGTGTCTTTTCATAATACCTTACACTAAAATCAACTAACATAAATGCTACCCAATTCCCCCTGACTTTGAATTACATTTATAGAGAGTATTACACCATCTGTATGATACAGTATGTTGTAATGAAACAAACTAAATCAAGAAAAGGCTTAAAACAACCAACAATCAGTAAATTAACCCTTTAAGATTAGAGTATAGCAATTTGTACACTGAGTTGTTATATATCAAATCAATCATTATTATTATATATATGGCAATAAATATTTGATAAATTACTTCAACTCTTATTTTCCATGATGAGATGAAAAAGATTATTAGTTAAACTCCTCATAATTATAACCAAATAAATGTAGAATTTTTATATTGTCTTTTGGCAATTTTGGCTCTGTTTTTGGTTAACCTAACATTTTTGCAAGTGAAATACAAGTATGAAAATGAATCACTTACCCCATAGTAATCAAATGTACTAAACCATTTTCTGAGGTTTTTTGTCGTCCATGATTCCTTTTGTCACATGACAAACCGTTGACAATTTGCAAATTAAAACTTGAAATAATTGTAATTATCACTAAATAATATAAAAAACTAATTACATCACAATAAACTTCACTAAATAACAAAACTTTTGATATATAACTCATAACTAAATCGTTAAATAAAACTATTAAAATTAATTAAAATAATTTGACAACATGTAAACGCGTGTAGTCCACCGTAGAACACCCGCGCCCTCTTCTTACTAAAAATAACAATAATTATTATTATTATTTTTTTTTAATCCGTGTCTTGTGTCGTTAATTAACTTACATATTATATATAAAAAAAATTACTCCTCCCATTTTAATTAATTAAGTTAATTAATTTATTAATAATAAATTTTATAAAAAAAATAAATTTAAACATTTTTTGTTTGACGTCCTCATTGAAATTTTCCCTTTTTCGGGAGGAGGAGGAGGGGTAGGGGGAGTGGAGGGGGGGGTTTGAATTCCATCGAGGATTTCTATAAAATCGTTCGATTAATTAATTTACTCCGAAATGTTAAAATAGAAAAATATAGAAATTACGTTAAAACTTTCATAATTTAATAAATAAAACGAACAGATGTTTAATTTGATATTTAAAAAAACCCATTCGAACGTTTATAATTAATGGAAAAATTTTATTTGGATTTTTCATTTGAAAAAAAAAATTATTATTATTATTATTAAATTAATACCCATATCACCCTTATTTAATTTATTGATTGATTGTTAAAAAAAATTATGAATCGAGGATGGTAAACGACAGCGAATTTTTCTGTTTGCTGTTGGGGGGGGGGGGGAAATATATATATATGTATGGAACTTGATACGTGTTTGCGTGGGAGTAATAATTTTTTTTTTTATTACGTTTTAAAAAAATTCTTAGAATAAATTAACATTTCGAAATAGTTATGATAATGATAATAAATAAATAAGTTTTTTTTTTTGCGTCGTTTTTTTTCGGGGAGGGGGGAGAAAGAAGGGAAGGGATAAATTGAAAGAAAAAAAAATCTGGAGCGATGAATTTCCCGATGGAGAATTTTAATTTTCTTTTCTTTTTTTTCAAGGTCATTAAACTAATTAACAGAGTGATAACGCATACATTTAATTATACATTATCAACACCAATATATTATTATTATTATTAAGATCGAATGGATAGGAAAAACTCGACTATGAAATTTTGGTATGGAAAAAATAACAAATGGATAAATCATATGGTGTTATCAACGAGTGATAAAAATAATATGGAGTCGAAACCCATCTTCTCGCAAGATTCTTCTGCTTTTTATCGTAAATTTATTTATTTATTTATTAAATCATTTTTCAATAGACAATAAAAAAAGTTAATAAATAAATAAATAAATAATAATAATAATAACGATAACGATCGCGTTAGCAAAAAAAAAAAAAAACGAAAAGTTTTACTTATTTATTTATTTATTTTTTTTATCGATTTGATGTAAATTAAAATTTATTAATTCATTTATTAACAATTATTATTATTATTATTACTTATTTATTTATTTCATCTCGATGAAAATTAATTAATTAATTAATTAATTAACATGAAATTGGGAGAAAATGAAATTTTCCACGATTGCGGTTGTATCATCGTTAATAAAACGTCCGTGACGTCATTTTGTAAAAATGATTAATCGTAATATCGTTTACAATTAAATAAATGAAAAGGATTGGTGAGGCTTGGGGGGTTCGCCCCCTTCCTTTCCCTCCCCAACTCATTTATTTTTGTTTTTTTTTCGTTTTGCCAGATTTAATATTACCTTTGATAACGGCCGGCGTATCTCTTATCATATTAATTGTTTTTATCACTGTCATGTGCTTGTTAAAAAGGAAAAAAAAATCTGTCGTCAGCGGTGATGCTGGGGGACCAAGTATTGTAGTGTATCCATCACATCAAGGCTCTTGCTTACAATTTTCGTGAGTATGGGGGGGGGGAGAATTTTTTTTCTAAAATAACAAAAATCAATTTACTTACCTTTTTTTCCCGGGCAGAACGAAAGATATATTATTTAGTTTGCCGCCATTACGTCATTCAAATTCTTTGGGAGATTTAAATGAAATAGATTTGGATGAAAATGATTCGGATGATGGAAATACCGAACCGTTGATACTAACCGAAAGAAAACGTAACAGGCGTTCGAATTCATTTAGCTGTTACGGTTTGGGTGTCGTAGACCCGGCACTCTACGGTAATTGTACCATTAATTTGGAAGAAGACGTTCAATTTCCGGATGATCACATAGGAAGACTTTGGTTTTCCGTACGTTACGAAAACGCGACGGAAAAATTACTCGTTTCCATATTGAAAGCTAAAAATTTACCCAGTAGAACCGTTGGAACGGTTAACGGTTGCGATCCGTTCATAAGACTTCATCTTTTACCAGATGAAAGAAGATACCAACAATCTAAAGTTAAAAAGAAATCTTGTAATCCATTTTTCGACGAAACTTTTGTGTTTCAGGTATTAAATCCTACCTTTCCTCACCTTTCCCACACGTACCTCGTCGTTCGAAACAATCGAACAATTAAATTTTGAAAAATTTTCACAGGTACCCGCAAAAGATTTATTAGATCATTTATTAAAACTCACCGTTATCGATTCCGGAAGAGCCAAACGTCGAAGTATAATTGGTCACGTGGTACTACCATTAAACGAATTCGTTACGGAAACGGAAGTCAAATTATTTAAAATGGATTTGGAAAAAAAAATCGTTGAAGATTGGTTGCTAACGGCTAATGGAGAATTACTCGTTAGTCTTTTATATAACGAAACGCTCGGTCGATTGAGCGTGACAGTAATCGAAGCTAAAAATCTTAAGGTATACCTAACTTTAAACCTTCTTTTTTTCTTCTTCGATATATCGATATATCGTTTTTTCTTTCAGTTTAGAAATATCGATAAACAAGATTCGTACGTGAGAATAACATTAAATCAAAATTACAAAGCTATTAAAGTGAAAAAAACGAGCGTGGTCAGAGGTAAAAACGATCCGAGTTTTTTCGAGTGTTTTAATTTCCGTTTAACTCCTGCCACGACGGATGTTAGCAGTTTGTGTTTTGAAGTTTTTCAATGTGTTTCCGGATACGGAAGAGGTGCGATAACATGAAAAAAAAAATATTATCATTATTATTTTCTTCTGGTAATTAATTAATTAATTAAAAAAAAACGGAAATAAAAAAATTTCAGATAAGTTAATTGGAAAATTTATTTTGGGATCTTACATGTTTGCAAGAGGAAAAGGAAATTCTCATTGGATTTCGGCATTATCTAATCCTAAGGAAACTTGTCAACAGTGGCACACTCTTTCCGGTTAATTTATTTATTATATAATAATTTAAAAAAAAAAAAAAATTATTATACAAAAAAAATTTTCTTTCTAAGTAAATTAAAAATTTTCCTTTTTGTTAATTAATCATTAATCATTCTCCGGTCATCATTTCCATAAATTCTAAAACAGAAAGTAAAAAAAATTAAATTTTAAATTTTTTTTGGCGCCAAAAATTTTTTATTTCCCCCCCCCATTTCCCCATTACCGTCGAAATCGACTGTTCCAGAATTGTCTGTATCGATTTCGCCAATTATTCCATCCAAATCCTCATTCGTTAATTTATCATCTAAAGCGGCGAGAATTTCCCGAAGGGTTCCCGTCGTTATGTAACCGTTTCCTAAAAATTTATTATTATTATTATTTTTTTTTTTATTCGACCTTTTGACCTCGTTTTCGTGGTAAATGACAAAATGGCAAAAAAAATGGCATTAATTAATTTTCTTTTTCCTTATCAATGTTTGATAACACGCGCCCGTACCTTCTCTATCGTATAATCTAAAAGCTTCTTTAAGTTCTTCTTGCATTGCTTCCGCATCATCTTCTTCTAAAAAATGTGCTGCTATACGACAGAAACCATCGAAATTAACTTTTCCGGACCCTGTTTAATAATAATAATAATAATGATAATAATAATAGGTCAATGACATTAATATGTAAATTTTAATTAATAACTTTGACGTCGGATTAGAAAAAACGGACATTTTTCAAACGTTTACATTTTTATATTATTATTTTTAATTAAAAAAAAAATTATGAATAAATATTATTATTATTATTATTATTATTATTATTATTATTATTATTATTATTATTATTATGAATTAATGAATTGTCGTCATAATTAAAACGAATTAGGAAGGAGGAGGAGGTTAAAGGGACGGAAACGGGGATGGCGTTTACAACAATTCCCGTCAATTTTTTAAAAGGGCTCGAGTTTGATTAAGTTTCCCGAGGGTTTTTCAAGAGCATTCCCTTCTCTCCCCCTTTCGTAATGAATAAATAATAATAATAATTTACCGTCGGGATCGGATTCTTCGATCAATGCATTTAATTCTCCATCGTCGAATATTTGACCCATTGTGTTTAATATTGTGCTTATTTTAACGGTGTCGATGAATCCGCATTTTGTCGTGTCGAACATTTGAAATGCTTTTCTCATTATTTGTAACTTTTGTTCATCGTCATCCTTTTTTTTTTTTTTTTTTTTTTTTTTTTATTACAAAACGTGAAAAACAAACGACGTTTTCATCATTTAAAAAAAAATTAAATAATAATAATAATTTAAATTAAAGACAAAAAAAAAAAAAAAAAACAAACGACGAATTTTTTTCTTTTTAATATTCCGTCATAATTACGATTTATTATCCCGTTAATAATTTAATTAATTTTTATAAATTAAAAAAATAAAAGTAAATTAATAAACTTACCATTGTTTTATTTTATTCGGTAATAATAATAATAATAATTATTATTTAAACACAACAAAAAAAAGCAAAGAAATAAATAAAAAATAAAATTAACGAACTAACGTTCGTTTTTGTGAAAGGTAAACAAAAAATAAATAAATAAATAAAATTTTGATTTGCTTTTTTCCAACGTGACGTGGGTGGACAATGCTTTTAAGAATTGACTAATTCACCTGACAAATAATAATAATAATAATAAACATCTGGTCCTTGTGTTTTCTTTATGTCATTACATAAAACAAAACAAAACATCTTTCCATTCATTTATTTATTTATTTTATTAACTTTATTATGAAATAATTATATATACTATTTAAAAAATTATTTTTTATTTTTATTTTTTATTTTGATGAAATTATTATCCCCTATAATTTAAATTATGACTAGTGCTTTAATAATAAATCTTGATAAATTTTCATTTAAAAAAAAAAAATTTTTTTTTCTTTTTAATTTTTAATTAATTATTTTATTAACTATTTACAGGGAACATTAATATTATTATTATTTTCAATTATAATCACAACAATTCGTCTTTAGAGCTTTTCAACATTTATTACAGGTTTCTACCTGTCGATCCCTAAGGAATAAATGCCTAAGTATCAGTAATGATGCATGCCTAATCTTGTTACAACCTATGACATCACAACAATTCTTGTGAGTTTCACTGTGATTATCTTATTTGATGGGAACAAGTTTTCTCCTGTACTCCTGGACTCCAGTAACTGACATCTGTGGAGCCAGGAAGAACAGGAGAAATGAGATTCACAACCTTGTCAAGAAATGACTAAGGTCAACAGTAGAAAAAGATTTGTTTTAATTCTGCCTTTATCTTGTTCTCATTTTGCTCTATTACAATTTTGAATTAGTTGTCATATAAGTTATGTCAAAGAACTATTTCAATACTTAATTTTCCTACTGTTTCCCCATTTCATAATCTTCCCTCATGCATTCCACCCAAAATGTATTCACAGTATATAAATTACAATTTTGTACTAATAAACTCAAGTAATCTGAAGGCAGTTGAATTTTTCTTATCATAATTGAAATTAAAAGAGAATTTTACACTAAACACATGGCAAAATATGTTATAATGAATCAAACTAACTTTAGAAAAGGGTTAAAGTAATGTACAATTAATAGATTTACACTTGAAATCAGGAGTACAGAGATTTTATATCCATTTGATGCCTTAAACCAATTATAATAACTATTTTTATTAAACTACCTTCATTTTTATTTAATATGACAGGGGTACTTAGCTTTTACTACTTATAATCAGCTCAAGAGAAGTACAATCATAAAATGGAGTCTGTTGTGCCTTTTCATAATTCCTTACACTAAAATCAACTAACATAAAGGCCACCAATTTCTTCGGTTTTTGATTCAGATTTACAGAAAGTATTACACTATGACAAACTATGTAAATGTGACAAATTAAGTTAGTAACAGGGTTAAAATAATATACACTTAGTGAATCCACACTTAAAATAGAAGTACAGAGATTTTACATCTATCTGATGCAATAAATTAATTAATTACAAGTATTTCTATTAAACTATTTTTATTTTTACTTAATGCGACAGAAGGTATTTAGCTCAACTTCTCGTAATCAGCTCAAGAAATGTAAAATTATCGAATAGAGTTTATTGTGTCTTTTCATAATAACTTACACTAAAATCAACTAACATGAAGGTTACCCAATCCCCCCTGATTTTGATACAAATTTAAAGGGAGTATGACACTGTCTCTATGATACAGTATGTTGTAATGAGACAAACTAATTCAAGAAAATGCTTAAAACAACCAACAATCAGTAAATTAACCCTTAAAGATTAGAGTATAGAAATTTGTACCCTGAGTTGTTATATATCAAATCAATCATTATTAATAAATATTTTCATTAAATTACATCAACTATCATTTTCTATGATGAGATGAAAAAGATTATTAGTTAAACTCCTCATAATTATACCCAATAAATGTAAAATATTAAAACTATTTTTTGGCCATTTTGCCTCCATTTTTTTGTTAGCCAAACGTTTTTGCAAGTGAAATACAAGTATAAAAATGAATCACTTACCCCATAGTAATCAAATGTACTAAACCATCTTCTAAAATTTTTCACTGCCACACTTTTTTTTGTCACATGAAACCGTTAACTATTTGCAAATTTAAACTTAAAATAATTATAATTATCACTAAATAATATAAAAAACTAATTATATCACAATAAACTTCACTCAATAACAAAACTTTTGATATATAACTCATAACTAAATCGTTAAATAAAACTATTAAAATTAATTAAAATAATTTGACATGTAAAAACATGATGTAAAAACATGTCAACCGTTGCACTTTCGCGCCCTTCTACTCTTCTTCTTCTTATTATTATTATTATCTTGAAATGATTTCCTATTCATAATAATTTTCCAAACCTAAAAGACAAATTGTAAATTATTTATTATTATTAGAGACAAATCAATTAAATTTTTATTTACATTATTGTTAAAATTTTTTTAATTTAACCTTTTGACCTATTTTAAAAATATTTACACAAAACGAACTGAACGTAAGCCAAATAATTTTTTTTTTTCAGTCGAAACGTGTCAACACGTGTTTACAAAAAAAAAAGAAAAATAACGAACCTGTCAGAAAAATAATAATTTTTATTTTCGTTAACAAAAATTAACTAAATATAAAAACATTTCTTTTGGCACTCTGCAAAAAAAAAAAAAAAACAATAAATAAATAAATAATTTTTTCTTAACTTAATAAATCGAATTACAATAAAAATAAAAAAAAATTTACAATTTAAATTGATTCGATATGAATGAATTAATATATATAAACAACAATAATTTATTTGTTTTAAAATATTACAATTAATTTATAAAATTTTACTGTTTCTTAAATAGGTGGGCAAAATCTAATAATAATTAAAAAAAAACTAATAAAAAAAAATAAAAAAATAACCTACTTTATTACATTTATACAAAATAAATAAATAAATAAATAATCGATAAGAAGATCTATTAAATGAAAAATAATTATTAATACTTAATAATTCAATCTTAAAAAAAAATATTTATAGTTTATCTTCATTGATGATTTAAATAAATAATTATATAAAAACAAAAGATGTTAGAATCAGTAAAAAAAAAAAAAAATAATTTCAATACACAGAAAAATAAAACTCGAAACAAAAAAAAAAAAACAACCTTGTTCTTTACGTCATGTTTCAGTAATTATGTTCCATAATATTCGAATAACATTTTTTTCTTACAATAAAACACTGAAAAATTCCATCTATTGCCTGTCAGGCCATTAACTGAAGTAATACATCAAATTCTTTTTTTTTTGTTATAAGAAAAGATTCCGATGATAATAATAAAATTTTAATGTTTCTTATTATTTGAGCATTCCCAATAAGTGACCAGATTCATACAAAGCCTTAATTTCACTTCCACCACCAATACATTTCCCATTAAGAAATATTCGGGGGACTGTTTTGACTCCTGTTATCTGTCCTAGAGCTGCTTGTATTGCACTGCCATCATCTCTCTGGTCTAATTCGATAACGGTGTACCTTCTGTTAAGGGCATCAAACACCTAAAATAATGTTTTCAAATGTTTTTTTTTTTTTTAAATAATAAAAAACTATTTGATTATTACTTAATCACATACTTCTTTGGCCATTCTACAATAAGGACAATAAGTTTTTGAAAATATTACAATTTCATCTTGTGTTATCATATCTTTCACAAATTTCGTGGCAGGCTCGAGTTCCTCCGAGAAAAGACTTTTACTTTGCACTCCAATGCCCATTAGAATGCAAAATTCGACTACAAAAAATAATATCGATAAACATTTATTTTATAAATTTCATTTTATAAAAATTGAATATGATTTATTAAAACTTAAAAGAAATAATAATAATAATCTAACTACCTAATTTTAAAAGTATAAAAAAGGCTGCTTAACAAACACTGTAATTAATCCTAATTAATTGTTATTAATTAATAAATTTAAAAAAAAACCTAATGTATATGTATTCTAATCATCCTGAAACAAAATAAATGAAAATAAAATATTAATACTATTTTTTATATTTATATTATTATTATAAAAAAAAAAAAAAGAAAAAATTTACCTAAAAAATAAATAAAAAATATATTGTTTAAAGAAGAAGAAGAAAATTGGCAAAGGACACTCATTTCATAATAAACATCACCTGTAGAATTACAAAAATTATTTTGTGATATATAATTCAATATAAATTGAGCCTATGAATTTTTTTTTTTTTTTTTTTTTTTTTTTTGCTATCGGTCACGGTTTTAATCTTTTTAATTATATACTTACCACCTGTTTCTAAAATTAAAATATGAATTTTTTTTTTTTTTTTTTTTTTTTTAAATTGCTGAGTTGCCTTACGAATTTGTTTATATCATTTTTATTTTGTTGGCTGATTCTAATTACACGACCAGTGCCAACGTCGTTAAAAATGTCGGCTGTCAACATATTTTAAATTTAAAAATTATTTTTTTTATTTTGTTTTAAAAAATTTTTTTTTTTTTTTTTTTTATAAATAAAATGCCATGCACGGCAAATGGGTTATATGTGGTGCAAGGAGAAATGGCTATTCTCCTTGCTGCTATGAGAAAAGAAAATCGTTGGCCTTCTCATACCATGCAGGTACATCTGAAATAAATTAATTTTAATATATATCTAATGATAGTACCAGTTAATATGTTTTGAATATTACTCCTTATTTTGAAACAATTTTTTTTTTTTTTGTCACCTTTTATTCATGTCATCATTTACTGACAATTATAAAAACATTTGAATTTATGTGGGAGGTCAAATTCCTTTTATTTATAAAATATTCAATAACCTCTTTTTGAAATTAATTAATTGTTTAATTACCTCATTTTATATTTCACCTTCATGTTTTTTTTTTTTTTTTTTCAAAGGCAAACAATTGCAATAAAATTAATTTTTTTTTTATTATTATTATGATAACACAACATTTGATACAAGTACTGATAATCTTATGATTTTATTTGTACTTGTAGGTCAAGATTTTTTTTTCACTAAAAATTTTCTAACTTTATGTAATCGATTACAATTAAATAGTAAATATTCACCATAAATGATTTGTAATAAGATTTTTTTTTATTTATTTAAACAGGATTTGAGTCAAAATGTGTTGATTCAAAGTTTTAACGATTTAAAAGATGTTTTAAATCAAATAGGAGATTTAAAAGATTTGGATCCTAATCATTATTTTGATCCATTTTTGGAAGTGATTAGAGCAGGAGAAACAACAGGCCCAGTAACTAGTCTTGCACTATCTTCAGTTCATAAATTTTTATCTTATGGCCTCATCGGTAAAATTTTAAACAAATCAAAATTATATTGAAATTTTTTTTCAATGGAGTGATAGCATTATTATATTTTTTTTTAGAGCCATCGAATAAATCTGTCCCGAGCACATTAGAAAATATTGCAGATGCAGTTACCCATGCTAAATTTGTTAGTATCGATGAAAATAGTGATGGAGTAGTTTTGATGAAAATATTACAAGTTCTAAGAACATTAGTTCTTTCTCCCCTAGGTCATATGCTTACTAATGAAAGTATGTGTGATATTATGTTAGGATGTTTTAGAATTTGTTTTGAACATAGGCTGACAGGTACTTAATTACTCTTTAATGCTTGTTTTAACTTATTTGGACTTGGTATTATGTTTTGTAAATAAAAGTTTTTTTTTTATCATTAATTAAAGCATCATTTACTTTTAGAGCATTTAAGAAAATCTGCAGAATTTTGTCTTAAAGATTTAGTTCAGCATTTATTTTCTCAACTATCTGAATTCACGGATGATTCTAGAAATTTAAATCAAGTTAAAAAATTTAAAATGATCAATGGTGCGGTTGATTCTTTAACTTCCAAAAGAAAAAGAAAATCCAAGTTAAATCAAAATAAAATTACCAAAGAATCAAAATCGTTACAAATGAAAACGGAAGAATCGAAAGGGATAAATAAAAAAAATACTGAGAAAATTTTAGACATGCAAGGTGAAATCCATCAGGAAAGCGTTACCAAAGATAGTGAAATAAGCGAACCTGTCGATTCAGAATCAGTGCAATTACAGGATGATGTTAATTCGAAAGATGTTGAGAATACTGTCACAAATATGGATGAACCTTTAGAAAATAATTCATCTTGCATAATAAATGTTGAAAATTCTGATAACTTACCTTCTCCAATCGTAGAAACTGCATTAGATGCTGTCGACAAAAATGCTTCATTTACAGTTGATACTTGTACCTCTTTATCAAATTCTTCAACGAGAGGAATCGAGAAGTTAGATAAAACTGGTGATCCACAATTATCCAGTCAAGATTATGTTAATCCTCAGGGTGTAAGATTTACTTCTGAAATTAGCGAATTAGAAAATGAAAATCAGGGAAAACTTCTACCCTACGGATTGGGATGCATTCGAGAACTTTTTAGGTTTTTAATTTCACTGTGCAATCCTTTGGATAAGCAAAACAATAAAATGATGATTCATTCAGGTTTGACGCTGTTGGGAGTAGCATTTGAAATTGGAGCAGACGCCATTGGGAAACACGAATCACTTTTGGTCATGGTTAAGGATGAACTTTGTAGAAATTTATTTTCTGTAAGTGTTAATTTTTTTTTTTTGTTCGAATAAAAATTTTTATTCTTTTTTTTTTTTTTTTTTTTTTTATTTTTATCGATTTGTTTTTTTTTTTTGTTTAGCTGCTTCACGAAAAAAAAATTTATATATTTGCATTAAACGTTCAAGTATTGTTTTTACTTTTTGAATCGTTGAGAACGCATTTAAAATTTCAATTGGAATTTTATTTGATTAAATTAACGGAAATGATTGTTTCGGATTCGCCAAAAATCAGTTACGATCATAGAGAAATAGCCTTAGAATCTGTCGTTCAACTCTGGAGAATTCCAGGACTCGTCACCGAACTTTATTTAAATTACGATTGTGATTTATATTGTCCTAATCTATTTGAAGACCTCACAAAACTTCTTTCAAAGGTTACATTTTGTTTTTGATTGTTATTTTTCCCCCCCCCATCCCCCCCCGCATATAATCATCGTTTGAATTCCCTTTTTTTTTAGAATGCCTTCCCCGTGGATGACGTCTACAATACTCATTTACTTTCTCTCGCTGCTTTACTTACAATTGTCGATTCAATCGAGTGCCATTGCCACAATAGGATAGTCTACGAGAAACAAATGGAAAACAGTAATAGTAATTCCGACGATTTGAAAAGGGTTTGCAACGTGAAAATAGGTCGTCAGAAAATTTCGAAAAACATTCCGAGTCACGAAGAATTGATGGCTATAAAGCGAAAAAAAAAATTACTCACGTCCGGTACGGAGCAGTTCAATGCAAAATTTAAAAAAGGTATTGAATTCTTGCAAGAACACCATCTTCTTTCGACTCCATTGGAACCTCAGGAAGTCGTGCATTTTCTAAGAGAAAATCCCAGGTTGGATAAAAAAATGATTGGAGATTTTATCAGCAACAGGAGCAACCTTGAAATATTAAATGCATTTGTTAGGCAAGTGTTGATCTGTGTGTGCCTGATATTATTTTTCATCGTCCATTTTTTTTTTTTTTTTTTTTTTTTTTATAAATAAAAAAATTGATTTTTTAGATCTTTTGATTTTTCGGATTTGAGAATTGACGAAGCTTTACGTCTTTACCTTGAAACTTTTCGACTTCCCGGTGAATCCCCTTTGATATCTCTCATCATGGAACATTTCGCCGAACATTGGCACGTGAGTGATACATTTTTTTTTCTTTTTTTTTGCTGTCCATCGTTTCCTTCAAACAAAAAAAAAAATGAAATTTTAATTATAGAAATGTAACGGAGAGCCTTTCGTCAACGCGGATGCAGCTTTCACTTTAGCTTATGCGGTTATAATGTTGAACGTCGATCAGCATAATCACAACGTCAAACGTCAAAATAATCCGATGACGGCGGAAGAATTTAAAAAAAACCTGAGGAGAGTCAACGGAGGTGAAGATTTCGATCAGGAAATGTTGGACGAAATATACAACGCAATCAAGTAAGTTTGTTCTACTTGAAAAAAAAAAAAAAAACATAGAAGTAAGCAGACGACGGATGATAAAGGGTAAATGTTTATACTATTAAATAAAATTTTAGAAATGAAGAAATTGTTATGCCGGCCGAACAAACCGGATTGGTAAAAGAAAATTACTTGTGGAAAGTTTTGCTCAGGAGAGGAGCTAGCAAGGATGGGATATATCATCACGCACCCAACGGATTATACGATCACGATTTATTTTCACTAATATGGAGTCCGACGATAGCAGCATTGAGTTGCCTTTTCGACAAAAGCAATGATATTTCGGTTTATCAAAAAGCTATGTTGGGATTCAGGTTGGTTATGGTAAAATTCTGAGTGTAAATAACGAATCGTTACAACAATGTGTTGTTTTTTCTGTTTTTTGGAAAAATTTTTTAGAAAATGTGCCACCATCTCGGCTCACTACGGAATGAGTAACGATTTCGACAATTTGATCGTTTCCCTGTGCAAATTCACGAATTTAATCAATTCGTCGGATTCTCCTGAAAGCGTGACCATCGCCTTCGGTTTGAACTTGAAAGCGCAGTTGGTAACGAAAACACTATTCGATTTGGTTCGCAAACACGGAGACATAATGCGAGAAAGTTGGAAAAACATATTGGAAATAGTTTTGCAACTTCACAAATGCAAACTCTTACCCAAATCCCTCATAGAAGCCGAAGACTTTTTAGAACACAATAAAAAAATTATTTTGATGAGAGAAGAAATTCCATCGCAAAAAACGGAAACGGGACTCTTGAGTTCTTTGTATTCTTACATAGCTTTGGGAGCGGAAGCATCGAGTCACAGAGCTCCGTCGATGGAAGATCAGGAACACATGAAAATAGCTCGTCATTGCATCAAAGAATGTAAAATAGATCAGATAATAACGGAATCGAAATTTTTGAGAATGGATTCTTTACTCGAGCTCATCAAATCGTTAATTTCGGCTTCCCACGGTCCCGGAAGTAATCAATTCAATGAGGACGCGACGGTTTTCTTCCTAGAAATCCTCGTTAAAATTGTCATACAGAACAGCGATCGAGCCAATGGGATTTGGTTAAATATTCGGGATCACATTTATAGTTTAATTGTGGGAGGTTCGGCATGCGATCATTATTACCTGACGGAAAGAGCGGTTGTCGGCTTATTGCGGCTCGCCATTCGTCTCATGCGTAGAGAGGAAATGAGTTTGGTCGTTTTGCAATCCCTCAGAATGCTTTTACTCTTGAAAAATAATATCCTGCAAAGAATATCTCGTCAAATTGCGTACGGTTTATACGAGCTATTGAAAACGAGCGCTGCCAACATTCACACGAGCACGGATTGGACAATTATATTTACCTTGTTGGAATGCGTGGGTGCCGGAGCGCCCCCTCCTAAACTGGTTGGAAACAATTCTCAGAATAACGTTAATAACGGTTGGTAACAAATGATTGATTGATTTGTTTGTTTCGGGTCGAAAATTATGGAATTATGGTAATGTTTCGTTTAGGTGCGAAATCAGACGGTGATTTAGGATCAGGAAATGAAGATAGCGGGCTGGGAAACGACAGAGGCTACACTTCTGATTCGGAAATTCACCTACGACAAAAACCAAGTCCTTCCGTCAGCCCGGAAATGTCTCCGAACGTGGGAGGCGGTTGGATTTTGGTCGGAAACGAAGGCGACATTCAACCGGTTCCTTCGCGAAACGCTCATCAAAACAATGCCGATTTCGAACAGGAATTGATGTTTCACGATCCGTTCGCTTTGGTCAAATGTTGCGAGAGTTTAGCGTTTTTAGTCAGAGACGTTGCTCACATCACTCCATTTAATTTTGAATATTGCGTGCATTGTATAAGAACGTTCGTCGAGGCCAGTCTAAACGGAAGTGAGTTCATATAAACTGTGTGTGCGTGTGCGTGTGTGCGTACCTATCAAGTCTTAAATTATTTTATGATTGTGATTATTCGATTTCAGCGGATAAAAAGAAAATCAAGAAATCGAATTCCGCGAAAGATCCAAAATCAAGGAAAAAATGGATGAAAAAAAAAGAGGAAAAAATAAGGAGTCCACAATTGAGTCCGACAAGTGCCTACGATGCGGATGAAAGCGATTCCGAAGAATTTCCCAGCGGATACCATCAAATAAGCATTCAATTATTGGATTTAATGCACACTTTACACACGAGAACGGCTCAGATTTTCCGATGGTGGGCCGCCGAAAACGCAGACACGAATTTCACTTCCCTATGGTTCCAAGGATGGTGTCCTCTACTGCAGGGTATTGCGAGACTCTGCTGCGATTCTAGAAAACAAGTAATTTTCTTTTACTTTTCATCTTTGTCTTATCTTCGTTCGACCCACGTGGAGCTGAAGGTAACGAACTCAAATTTTTCGTCTTTTTGTCAAGGTACGCATGAGCGCCATAACTTACCTTCAAAGAGCCCTTTTGGTTCACGATTTACAAACTCTCACGGCCGATGAATGGGAATCGTGTTTCAACAGAGTTTTGTTTCCTCTCCTTGCAAAATTATTAGAATTGAATTTTTTGGATGAACCGCACCTGGAAGAAACGAGAGTGAGAGCAGCTACGGTTTTATCAAAAGTTTTCCTACATCACTTGACTCCTCTCTTGTCCCTTCCGACATTCACGACGCTTTGGCTCAACATTTTGGATTTCATGAATAAATACATGCTCGTGGAGAAAAGTGATCTTCTGGTAAGTGCGAAACATTTTCACTCCTTGATTCCTTATAACGGGTGTAAATTTTTTGTCTTTTTTTCCAGTTCGAAGCGATTCCCGAATCGTTGAAAAACATGCTCTTGGTTATGGATTCGGCTCAGGTATTTGTCGGGTCCGACGGATACCTACCTCTGTGGGACGTGACGTGGGAGCGAATAAACAGTTTTCTTCCCGGTTTGAAAGAAGAATTTTTCAAGGCTCAATCTGCTATTCCCAAACCCGACGATATCGTATCACCCGTCATAAAAGCAGCAGATGAGCAACCCGTACTTTCTTCGGGTTCTCCCCCTCCTCCGCCGTCACCGCCACCACCTCCTTCTCCTTCGTCTCCTCCTCCTCCTTCTTCTGTTCCTCCTCCTCCTCCTCCTCATCCTAATAAAACCGAATTTTCGGATTCTGGAAATCAGTCGCAGTTATTGAATCAAATTTCAACTTCACGAGGTACCAGCATTATTTTGCAACCACCTTCGTCTTACGCTCATACTTTTACTACTCCGATATTAAATCATCTTGGTCAGCAGGTATGAGAATTTCGGTTATTTGGTTTCGTAAAAAAAAAAAAAAAAACTATGAAGTGTGTTCTCAACGATCAATTTTCCTGTGGGATTCTTACACTTTAGTTTAGAAAGAAAAAAAAAAAAAGGAAGAAAGGGATCATAACCGTTTTTTTTTTTTTTTTGTTTGTTTTCATTTTACAGTTAATGACGACAAGCATATCAGGACAATTGCCAAATTCGTCCGTTTCACTCGTGCCGACGGCGGCAAGTTCTCAATCGCAAGAACAAAAAATTCCGTTAATAGTACCAACCGTCGTACCGGGTGTCGCTGCCAAAATCCCAAAAGAATTCGTTTATTCGCACGAGAATTTCGTATCGATATCAAAAGACGGGAAACCGTCTTCGGAGGAACGTTCGGCAAACCGAGACAGTGACGGATCGAACGAGAACAAAGTTTCAGAAATCGTCGTACCGCAACCGGTAACAATGACGTCATGCCTTCTGCCGCCGCCCACGTCGTCGTCGTCGTCGTCGTCGTCGTCGTCGTCGACGGTGACGCAAACTCCGGATCCCCCCCTTTCAAACGTTCAAAATTTCGGATCACGAAATTCTTCTTTCGTTCCCTACGTAAATCTCAACAATTATTCGTCGATCCGTTCGCACGTTCCCTCGTCCGAGGCCCTATACATTCCTCCGACGAGTCACATAACGGCTCCCGTACAAATGTATTCCTCCCCGGGATTGGATCAGGACGATCGTAACAAATCTTGGTCTTTTCGGCCGTCGGAAATGATGACGTCACCAGACGACAGCAGTAATTCTTCAGTTTTGTCTCAGTATTTTTCACAGCAGAACCAAGTGAGTCGAACGTAATGGTGGTGGTGGTGGTGGCGGTGATAATAATAATAATAGTAGCATTCATATTTGATTTGCAAAATCGTTTTCAGCAACCGGATGCATTCGATAATCTCTTATCAAAAACGAACCTGGAAAAACAATCGGAAAACAACAAGACGTAGTCAATAATAATAATAATAATAAGAAGAAGAATTCACTCGACAGATTTTTCCCCGTTTGCAGCGTGACAGACGTCAACGTCAGAAAAGAAGTCATCATCATCATCATTGAGAATCAATGTTTATGAAAAAAAAAAAAAAAAAACAAATGATTGATTGATTGATTGATACCTGATAAATAAAAGAATAATAATAAATTAATAATTTTAATTATTGTTTTAACTGACGATTTTATTTTGTTGTTGTTTTTTTGTTGTTTGTTTGTTTGTTGTTATCATCAGGACAATAAAAAGTAAAAATAAAATAAAATTTCGTATGTGATAAGAAAATGATAAGGAAAATTGGAAAAAACTCCCCGTTGATTCGTTTATTTTATTTTTACGGTTATAATTATTATTATTATTATTTTTATTGTTTATTGTAACGTGGTGAATATTATTTATAAAAAATATATATATGTATTTATTTATGTATCTATGTATTTATGTATTTATGTATGTAACTAAAATTTTTTTTATTAATGTCAATCGTATGGGGATCTTATTTAAACTTTTTTTTTTTTTTTTAATTATTTTAACCTGATTCTGAGAGTGGAAAAAAATTTTTTTTCTTTTTGTTTTGGTTGTTGTTGTTGTTGTTGTTTGTCGTCGTCGGCGAAAGTGACTAACTGTCATTTAATTATTATTATTACTGTTTGTAAATTCGAACGGTAACGTCCGTATTGGAACAATCGCGACTTCAGAGACAAAAAAAATTGAATTTCTAAATTTATCATCATTATTATCACCGTTATCATCATCATTATTAATCATTATTATCATTATCATTATTATTATTAACGATTTCTATTCTCAATCAGGGGAAATGAGATTAAAAATTTTTTTATTATGAATTAATAAAATAAAAAAAAAATTTTTTTCAATTTATTAATTTTTTCATTACCCTTACAAAAAAAAAAAAAATTGATGACGATAATAATAATAGTATTTATATTAATTGATAGAACCTATTATTATTATTATCATTATTATTATTATCGTTTCCATGTTTAAAAAAAAAAAAAAAAAAAAAATGAAAAGAAGTTGAAGTAAAAGTTGATCGACGGCAAAATAATTATTATTAACTATTTGATATTTTCGTTGTTTTTTTTATTTATTAAATAATAATAATAATAATGATGATGATGAAATTATATGACGTAATGTAAACGTCATAGTTAAATGTCTACATAAATACATAAATTTATTGTTTTTTTTTGTTTATGTGTTTGTTTTTAAGGAAAGGAAAGGAAAAAGGAAAAAATATGAATGTTTTTGGTATACGAATGAACGCAGGTAAATAAATACTTTGTTTAGCTTACCCCCTTTTTTCCGATTGTTGTTTGTTGTTTGTTGTTGTTGTTGTTTTGAAGAAAGAAAAATGCGGCGCGAAAGAAAAATAAATATTTTAAATTATCAAAACAAACAAAACGTTTTTAATTTATTTATTATTATTATTATTATTTTAAAAAGCGCGACAAGTTTCTTTCAGAAACTTATTGAGAAAAAGTTTCGAAACTTTTTTTTTAAATCGCGTTAAAAAAAATTTTTTTTCCATTTTGCAACTTGATGACGTCTCTCCCCCCCTCCCCCCCACGTCCCCCTTCGCCCCTCCCCCCGTTTTCCCATCGACGTATTATTATTATTATAAGGTCCGATCCAAAGGTCTCGCGAGGGAGAAAAACAAAAAAAAAATTTCATTTAATGTTATCAACAAACGAGGATGGATGGGAGGCGGGGAGAAGGAGGGAAGGAGGAGGAAGGTAGGTAGAGATGTAGGGGGCGGGGGGCAATTGTCGTTTTCGTGTTTTAGTTTGTCTAATCGATAAGTTTTTCCTTTTTTTCCATTTTTCTTTTTTTTTTTAGTTGGTTTCTACGGCATGGACGAAACGGTTGTTGTGTAGAGTCGTGATATGTCATTCGTTATTTGTGCTAAATAAATAAATAAATATTATCATTATCATTATTATTAATAATATCAATGCCGTGTTTTTTGTTTGTTTGTTTCTTATTTCTTTGTTTGTTTTAAATGAAAAAAATAAAATAAAATTTGTAAGTAAAAAAGAAAAAAAAAAAAAAATTTCGTTTGACTTACATTATTATTATTATTATTATTTGGAATGGTAGTCGTAGAAGGTATAATTGTTTAGTTTACGTAATTAGTATGACGTCATTAAAAGTCCCAAGTTTTTCGAATATTCGATCCCTCCCTTTTCCTCCTCCCACCCAAAAAAAAAAGATAAATTTTTTTTTTAAATTTTCCATTCGAGGCCGCTTTTTTTTTTAAAATTATTTACCCCCTCCTCCCCCCGCCCGTTTTCTCTATGTTTTATCATCATCATCATCATCATCATTATTATTATCATTACTATTTTGATTACAAATTTCCGTCTGTGATCCATTATTCCAGGTTTCTCAACACGATTCCTTGAGAATATCGGCGTGGATAACTCCTTGTAAAACTTTTTTGCTATTATTACTTATTATTATTATCATTATCATTATTATCATCATCATTATCATCATTATGGCGGTGACAATGGAAAAATCCTAAAAAAAAATTTTTTAATAATTTTCTTTCTGCTTTTTATAGAGAGAAAACAGAATAAAAAATATCTTTTAATTAAAGGTTTTAATTAAGAAAAGAAGGGATGGGGTAACGGGGAGGGGTCGGGGGGAGGGGAAAGGTGAAAGGTTACGAAGTTCATTGACGAGGTCATTTCGTTAACATAAAAAAAAAAAATTTTTTTTTTTTTTTTTAAATAAATTTTTCGTGTTACACGTAAAGTTTTTTATTATTTTTTTGAAGTGTCAAACTTAATTACATTTAAACCCGAGATTTATCATCATTATTATCTTTATTATTATCGGGGGGGAATAGGGGGTTGGGAGCAGGAGAAGGGGAAGGAAAATTTTTTATTTTTTTCCAGCACCTAAAAAAAAAAAAAATTCTTCAGTTTCATTTCCGTTACAAAAAAAAAAAAATGTCGTTCAAAAAATTTTTTCTTCCTTACGTTTTCATCATGTTTTTCAACAACAACAACAAATAACAACAACAACAAACAATAACAACAAACAACAACAACAACAACAACAACAACAACAACAATAATAATAATAATAATAATAATAATAATAATAATA